TAGTAAACAAATGACGTCATTCCATGATTTCACATGATGTGATGATCACTGGGTTCATTGTTCTTTAAGTGTCCCAAAAAATCATTTCATTAAAATTGATTATTAATGAGAAAATTATCGTCATTATTGTAACTGTATTTTAAATTAAAGCTCAGTTATGTATATAGTTGTTAGACGAAACCGTGAGGTTTCGCGCTGACGAAATGCGAAACCTTTCGTCAACTAAAATCTCAAATGACGAAATGACGAAAGGTGATGAAACTGGTGAAAGGTGACGAAAGGTGACAAAACTGATGAAACTGCAAAGGGTACGAAACTAATAAAGATGAGAAACGTAAGCAAGTGTAAGTAAGGGCGCCACTGGCTCCTACATTTATGTTTATATAAGACTAATATTTAAAACATACAATTGTGTCAATTTTAATAAGTAACTGGCTTTTCAAAACCTAAATATACAAGCCGGGTCAAGCCAATAAACATCTTCGGCATTAAACATAGCGATAGATGCTAATAGCTTATTTACTATTTATAATTTCTGTAATTGGCTTTTAAAAACCTAAATATACGTACAAGTCAATAAACATCTTCAGTAATAAATATAAATAAAAAGCCTCATTCGACGGGTTAAATATCTAAATTATAGAGATAATTTTATTATTTTTATTGATAGCTTCATCTAGACCAAAATTTCACTAGTAATTTTTTAGCGAGAGAAGTAGGGATTCATTATTATTATAAATTTCATCAATTCAGTTTTTTTTTTTTTTTAGCGGGAGCACCAAGGGGGTTTTTTTTAGAACTAAGGTTTCGTCTTTCGTCAGTTGAATTTGAGGTTTCGCCTTTCGTCAGAGGTTTCGTCATTTTGGGGCTTAGGTTTCGTCTAACAACTATAGTTACGTAACTTTTTTTTAGGGGAATACAAACATTAGGTTTTGTGTACATCACATATAAGTCACACGATTTGTCACGCAGATCACAGGGTAAATTTTTTACTATGAAATTTGAGTGATCATCATTTTCAGGGTTCCCAAAAGGAAATCGTATTTGTGTGACAGGGTTTGGCAGTTTATTTCTACAAATACTCTTCGATGTTTAAGTTTAAAGTAAAAAAATAATAAAGCTGAGAAGAATCACGCCTCCAAAGTTGTTGTTTTGTTTCATTTTTATGTACATAGTGCTTGTCTTATTTCACTTTGAAACCCTTTCTTAAAAGCTCGTTTTACCAGACCTCTTGACAATTATAAATTGGTAAAAAGGTTTGAAGAAGTTGCAGGTGTTTATGAAACGGCGAGTGCTAAATTAGTATAGTCAATTGTAAGTATAGCTTGACAACTTTAAAACTATTTTTTAAAATTTAGACAGATTGGATGGAACTATTACTTACAAAATTTGGTTTTTTAGGTGAATTGATCTTTAAAATCTCAAGTATAGTCGAAACTAAGCTTATCATAAATAGAAATGGTTTTTTAGAATTCAGGCGGGTTGGATTAGAACCTTTATCATTGACAAAGGAAGTTATAGTAAAGTTCACTGTATTGGAATTAGTTGACTGTATGTGATAGATTATTATAATAGTATTTATTTATATTTAGATACACGTTAAACAAAAAAAATGTAAAGTTAATTTTTTAAAAATTAAAAAATTTTATTTTTAATAATAAAATAAATTAGTCTGTATGCTAGGGGCGCCAGCGGCGCCCAACTTACACTTGTAATTTATATACGTATATCAGATCTGCACAAAACTTTAAATTGACAGTGATAAAATTTGTAAAATCTGCGCAGAATTTACATACGTATAATTGCATTTTTATAGGTTTGCTGATCTGATTTAAAATTCTATCATAATCTACGCTTTTAAAAATTATCTCAGATCTGAAAACAAAAAATATTCCCGATGACTAGCTTATTTGAGATTTGTGCAGCATGATTAGATAATAATTTATATGTTGTGCATAATTTGCTGGTAGTAACATATAGGTCTTTCAAATAAATACGGTCTTTAACTTGAAAATGACCTTACGGGACTATGTAGATTTTATAAATAAAAATTAAAACTTAATGAGTTCTACAAAATAAAAAAAAAAGGTTGATTTGGATTATTAGATGGCTTGAAATTTTAATTTTTATACAATCTACATAGTCCCATAAGGTTATTTTCAAGGCAAAGACCAAAATAGCTACTTTAAATATCTAAAGTCCCTTTTCAGATTTCCGAGGTTACACTATCTAAAGTTATTATTTTAAATATCTAAAGTAGCTACCTTAGATAGGATGACCACTTTGGATGCAAACATATATATGTGATCAGAACATAAATATTGTATATTAAATTTATACTTTTTTTGTTAAATTTTTATAGATCGTGAAATAACAAGCATTATTCTTAATTTACAATTGGATATGCCAATTTTGAAGCAGCATAGTATTGAAATCAGCGCAAATCATAACCACAATATTTTATATATTTATTCCAAAAATAAAAAAGAAAATTTAAATAAAAATACAATAATGAATAATAGTAATTAGAATTCAATAATTATTAATACATTAATGTATAAGCGTTTTTTTACATTAGGGTATTAATCATTTAATCTAATATTTAACTGTAATTCTTTTACTTTCTGAAAAATTTTGCCGCCTTTATCCATAAATGACTAGGATCTCTAGCACTTCGTTCATCATAATATAATTGATAATCAGCAGGTCTAAAAGCGTAATCCATAACCTCATTTGGATTCTTAATGCTGTAAGCTTCAGCTATAGTAAAATACAACGTTAAATTTTCAGGAAGAGATAATTTAGAAACTAAAGAACTATCAAGATTTTTAACTTGATTAAATATAGGTTTAAATTCAGCAGTAGATGCTGCATCTCCAACAGCATATTGAGCAAAAGAAAATCGAGTATTCGGAAATCCACCAACAGCTATTGTAGGAACATTAATTTCTGCTAATCTTTGCGTTATAATCGCACATGATGACTGACATAATCCATTTGTCAAAATTATAATATCTTTCTCAGTCCAAGGAAGTTTTGGAGGAATTGGAAATTTGAAAGCTCCAATGTAATTTGTTGTATCATTATGAAATGCCTTTGAAGTATATCTAACTTGAACACCACCACGAGTATATATATTGTTTCCAATAAAATCATTAACGCTATCAAAAGAAGTGTTTGTCTTTACAGAAATAAATGACTTATAATGAAATATATTTCCAATTCCCCTTTTAGCCTTAGATATTTCTTTTATAAATGGAATAGAAATATTATTAACCTTATAGTCCAATGGAAAGTTTTGTATGTTTGGAAATAATAGTTTATTTATGTAGTCCGCAGCGAAGATTTGGCCACCACCATTATTACTTAAATCTAAAATGATCTAGTACGAAATTTTTAAATAAAATATTTTAGTATTTATAATATAGTAAATTTAATGTACTTACAATAAACAATATTTATAGTTGACATACCTTTTCTATACCTCTGTCTGCAAGCATTTTAAATCCAATGGTTATATCTGATAGAAAATGATATTGAAGGTCAGAGTCATTATTTAAAATATCTTCAGTTGAAATCAAGACCACGCCAAAATCTTGCAATATATAAAATCTAGCAATGAACGCATCAAATATTAAAGTCGCTTTTCCGACTGAAGCCCCATTGATGTATGGAGATTTATATTGCACATTATTAATAGGAACTTGCCATTCTCGAGTTATTTTAGAAATTTTACCATTACAATTAAGAGTGTAAGAAATGCTTGGATTTTTTGGTAATTGAACCCGGTAGGTGAATGATTGACCTGCAATATAAAAATCACCATTTCCAAAAGCAAGTGATGCAAGGGCTGAATTAAATCGAGCACTCAAATCTCTCGATAAATATGTGTGATTTCTAGCAAATTCAGTAATTACTTCAATAGCTGGTTTGTCGTCTATGTCTATAACTTGACAATCGACGTTACAAGGATCCTTTACGTCATTAAAAACTTTAATTTCCTAAGTTGTAGATTAAATTTAGATTATTTTTTCTATTTCTTTTATGATATATTTAATCATTTACCTGCGTGCCATCTTTCCTAATCACGGAATACATGGAAAGTCCCTGATCAAAAGCGTACTTGTTATAATCATCAGAATTCAGCCTGTGAAGATGTATAAAATTTGTTAATTATATTTTTATATCCATAATCTTAGTAACAATATAGCTTACCAGGTGTGTCCATCTCTCAATTCTTTAATAAGATCTGCAACATCGTACTAATACATAGTGATAAAATAATGAGCAATTCTGTAATATATTAAAAATATATGATATATTTAAAATTATATACTTACAATAAATTGAAATTCGTACGAATAATTATTATTTAACACTAAATCTAATTCAGAAATTAAGTCAATAGGTCTTAAAGCAAATCCTGGATTTTGTTCTTCTTTTGCTTGATCTAGTAACGCATAGAACCCTTTAAGATTTTCTTTTACTGTCTCTATTACCTAATACATATTTTATTATTAAATTTATGCATTAAGAGGCTTCAGAATTAAAATGCGGAAATCTAATTTCGGTTTAACTAACGACCGGGGAAAGTTGGATTTAGTCAATTATTGGTGACCCATTCATTTGGCACAGAGGTGCGACCAATTATTCATGTGACGAATAAACGTTTACAAAATAATTATATTAGTTATTTATATCTGTCACATAGAATGATTCGTCACATCCTTGCGCCAAATGGAAGGGTCACCTATAATAAACTTAATCCGAAGAAATTTTACGTATTTCGTCGAATGGGTGACTTTAAGCACTCCATTTATTTTCTGATTTCGAAATTTTGATACATAAATAAGATATTTTAAATTCCAAAATACGCTATTCTTTTTTAATTCTGAAACTCTTATTATTTTATAAGGCTAATATTAGTAATACCTGAATTGCCGTTGTTTTATTGTATAGTGTTAATTCATAACAAGCTTTCACATCAGAGTAATTAAGAAATTGTTCTTCCGAATAAAGTGAAGTAACATATTCATCAAGCTTATCACATATATTAATATTTTCTTTACGTGGAATCCAACGTGAATAAACAAAATTAGTAAATACAATGAGTATAAATATTATAAGATAGATCAATTTCATTTTATTATATAAAATTATCGTTTATTTTGACTAAATAACTGTCTGCTTAGTTGTAAACCTAGTCCTTTTTATAAGTTTAAAAATTTTTATATAGTTAATAATACAATTCCAAATTAATTTCCAAAATAGGAATATTATATCCATTTTGGAAAAAAAAAACGCCAATGTTTTACGACACATTTTAACATTCCAAATACCAATTCGCACATTTTCTATATTTATCTATTTCATATCGGCCGATTTTATTTTTTTTAGATAAGTTGTTACACAATGTTCATAAGTGATTAGGACTACGTTTATTCATAGATGATTTTTTATTTCTGTTCATCCATATTAGTGAAAAGAATGATGCCTTATTTGGAACGCGGGATTTAAAATTTATTAACGCCATAGCGCAAATAGAAAATCTGGAACAGGTTACGTTAACTCCGATTACCGAATTAATATTCATTAAATAATCTTTTCATTATATGATAAAAAAAAAAAAAACATACTGAAAACTCAAATTAATTATATTCGAATAAAAATTATCCACGCTGAAAACTACGACCCTCTATTAAACTTAGATAATATTTTATTTACAAATAATACTGTAGTAAAAATGCTATCGAAACGCAATGGAAAATCCACAAAAAACTACGTTAGAAAATTTTATTTGCAATTATAGGAAAGCTCGCAATATACCAAAAGGAAAAAATTACTTCACTATCTCTATTACATACAAATGCTTATTAAATTTGTTATATGACACAAATTTCACTTCAAGCAGCTTCTGTATAAATGAATAAAAAGAAAATTGACCAAAGGGGAAAAAAAAGTCATTTTTGACGACAGCAGCTACATACTAACAAATGCAAAAAGAATACATGTACATAAAAAAAGAAAAAAAGATGCAAAATGTTACCAAGAAAATAATTTATATTTTTGAATTTTTATAGCAAATTATATTCCTATCTATACAATACAAAATTTTTGTTTTTTCGAAACTTATATTAAACGTTAGATATATTTTTATTGTTATTAATATTTCAATATTTGAAATCCGAATACTAATATTGGGTTTGAAATTCGGAGATTTAACCTGTCCCAGATTTTCTATTAGCGTATTAGCCGGCTATGGAGTTACCAAATTTTAAAATTCCGAGTTCTATAGAAGGTATCATTCTTTCACTTATAATATGGGATGAACAGAATTTAATTCTGAACAACTTTAATTAAAAACTCAAAAATAAAAAATCATAGTACTGTATTTAGCTAATTGGCTATGAATAATCGTAGCCGTTCGTAGCTGAACCCATCCCTATAAGTGATTTTGAAAAGTAACGAACGAGCAGTTGTTACAAGATAAAAGGTGTTTTATCATTTGCAAAAATACGGGTGTTCTATGATAGTTGGTAACCACCAAGAAATTCAAGACTATAATTGATTTTTAAATATCTAATTTTCAACTTATTTAATAAGTAGCAATTGCGCAAAATTAGGAATGGGAATATGTTGCATACGAGATTTAAAGTAAGCTTTGAAATGAGTTGTCTCAGATCTATAGGTGCAGACATAATGGTATAGCTTGTGTAATTATATGAGTTATTGCATTTTTGACCGTAACTCATTATCTTTAGTCTGACCAAAGTTTGATTATATTAGCCATGAATAAAACCGGTAAAAACGAATATATATTAATATACAGTATCACAAATTTAAAAGCCATGATATCTACAACGGTATCTACAATTGAGAATATAATTCAGGTTTCGCTACACTGGTTACAGGTTTAGCTACACTGGTTACAGGTTTAGCTTCAATGTTATCTGCAAATTCAGTTACAGGTTCAGCTACCGGATCAACAATATTAATTACAATCGCCATGATTAAAATTATTGATAGAAATTTTGAAAATAAAGTACGTTTGAATAAAATTAATTTGTGTGCACGTGAAATATTTTTACGGAGACAATAATTAAAAATCATTCATTTTTTATAATTCGTGTGCAGTCTAACTAGTATAATACTAATAAATAATGACACCAATTATCAAACTGGTAAAAGTATTGTAAAGTAATACGTACGTACGTACGAAAGTATAAATTAGAGTGGACATGGAAATCAAAGTCGTACGTTGTGAGAGGCAAGATCGACTTCTAAGTTCTATTTTTAGTGTTTAGATCTATTTTGGGAGTTAAGGGTAGTACAAATTCTGGAATTCGGAGAAATTCGTAGGATTCGAAGAATGATGGGAATTACAAGAATTCATAGAATAGCTAGAATAGCGAGAATAGTTGGAATTGCTAGAATTCCTAGAATTCTGTTATATGTAATGATTAATTATATATAGGAGGTAGTTTCCCTCCAAAATAAAGATAAC